ACCATTCCATTGTAGCTCTGGTTGTACACCGTGTTCCAAATTATTATGCAAATGATATTTTTCTCATTTACCTAAATAATTGATGTAAATAACAGTCAGCATAATTCTCATGTTATCAACTATTAAGAGTACAGTTCAAATTTTATTGAACAAACCTCCTAATGATAACAGTAGTTTTTTTAAACATAAAAAGCTTCCAATGCACTCTTCCAAATTATTACGCACAGTAAGTTTCAAAACCCTTTATAGGTTGTAAAGAACTGAAAATTGTCATTTGTTGTGTTTGCAGCATATTTACTGAAATCAAAAGCTACTTCAATCAAAATTTTCACAACATTTTAACTTTTTAAACATTTTAACAGGTCACATTACATTGTAACATAGGAGCCCTTATTTGATAGCAGCTTCACAAGTCTTGCATCCATTGAACGTGTGAGTTTTTGGACAGTTTCTTCTTGAATTTGTTTGCAAGATGTCAGAATAGCCTCCCAGAGCTGCTGTTTGGATGGAAGCTGCCTCCCACCCTCATAGATCTTTTGCTTGAGGATGCTCCAAAAGTTCTCAATAGGATTGAGGTCAGGGGAGGATGGAGGCCACACCATGACTTTCTCTCCTTTTTATCCCCATAGCAGCCATTGATGCAGAGGTATTCTTTGCAGCATGAGATTGTGCATTGTAATGCATGAAGATGATTTTATTACGGAAAGCATAGTTCTTCCTTCTGTACCAGGGAAGAAAGTGGTCAGTCATAAACTTCACATACTTTGCAGAGATCATCTTTACACCTTCGGAGACCCTAAAGGGGTCGACCAGCTCTGTTCCCATGATTCCGGCCCAAAACATGATTCCACCACCGCCTTGCTGACATCGCAGCCTTGTTGGAACAGGGTGGCCATCCACCAGCCATCCACTACTCCATCCATCTGGACCATCCAGGGTTGCACGGCACTCATCAGTGAACAGGACTGTTTGAAAATTAGTCTTCATGTATTTTTCTGCCCAATGCAGCCATTTCTGCTTGTGAGCATTGGTTAGTGGTGGCCGAATAGAAGGTTTATGCACAGTTGCAAGACTCTGGAGGACTATACACCTTGATGTCTGTGGGACTACAGGGGCACCAGCAGCTTCAAATATCTGTTTGCTGCTATGTAATGGTATTTTAGCAGCTGCTCTCTTGATCCGATGCATGGATCTGGCAGAAATCTTCCTCAATGTGCCTTTATCTGCACAAACCCGTCTGTGCTCTGATCAGCCACAAATCTCTTAATAGTGAGATAATCACGCTTACGTTTCCGTGAAATATCTAATGTTTTTATACCTCATCCAAGGCATTGAACTATTTCACTCTTTTTCGGCAGCAGAGAGATGCTTTTTCTTCCCCATATTGCTTGAAAATGGTGTTCTGTTTAATAATGTGGAACACCCTCCTTTAGTAGTTTTTTCTTAAATTGGGCTCACCTGCCAATCTAATTATCACAGGTGTCCGAGATTGTTTTCAGTGATCAAAAGAGCCCTGAGACACAATGCCATCCATGAGTTAAACTGAAAAACAAAATATTTAATCTTTGTGACACTTAAATAGAATTTGCATAATAATTTGGAACAGGGTGTATGTTTAGGGCTGTGTCCTGCTGGAAGGTGAACCTCCGTCCCAGTCTCAAGTCTTTTGCAGACTCTAACAGGTTTTCTTCTAAGATTGCCCTGTATTTGGCTCCATCCATCTTCCCATCAACTCTGACCAGCTTCCCTGTCCCTACTGAAGAAAAGCATCCCCACATCATGATGCCACCACCACCATGTTTCACAGTGGGGATGGTGTGTTCAGGGTGATGTGCAGTGTTAGTTTTCCGCCACATATAACAATTTGCTTTTAGGCCAAAAAGTTCAATAACGGTCTTATCTGACCAGAGCACCTTCTTCCACATGTATTCTGTGTCCCCCACGTGGGTTCTTGCAAACTGCAACTTGCTTTCTTTTAACAATGGCTTTCTTCTTGCCACTCTTCCATAAAGGCCAGATTTGTGGAGTGCACGACTAATAGTTGTCCTGTGGACAGATTCTCCCACTTGAGCTGTGGAGCTCTGTAGCTCCTCCAGAGTTAGCATGGGCCTCTTGGTTGCTTCTCTGATTAATGCTCTCCTTGCCCGGCCTGTCAGTTTAGGTGGACGGCCATTTTTTATAACCTAACCCTGCTTTAAATTTATCCACAACTTTATCCCTGTCTGGTGTGTTCCTTGGCCTTTATGATGCTGTTTGTTCACCAATGTTCTCTAACAAACCTCTGAGGGCTTCACAGAACAGCTGTATTTATACTGAGATTAAATTATACACAGATGGACTCTATTTACTAATTAGGTGACTTCTGAAGGCAATTGGTTCCACTAGATTTTAGTTAGGGGTATCAGAGTAAAGAGGCACGCCACACTTTTCAGATATTTATTTGTAAAAAATGTTCAAAACCATTTATCATTTTCCTTCCGCTTTACAATTATGTGCCACTTTGTGTTTGTCTATCACATAAAATCCCAATAAAATACATTTACATTTTTGGTGGTAACATGACAAAATGTGGAAAATTTCAAGGGGTATGAATACTTTTTCAAGGCACTGTAATACTTACTTTAGGCCTCTTGCACACGGTACTGATGTTCGAGCATCTGCTTTTTTGGACATTTTGTTTATTATGTTTTTCACATATGCGTGTATATTCTGAGGGAAAATTCATTAATATTTATGCTCATATGCACATATTTGTGTGTAAATGCCTAAACACGCAGTAAATTACTGGCCAAAAATGCAGATTTCCCTATTTCTTTTTTACTGAAGAATACGCGACGCTTTAAACACCTGTATGCAAAGTCACATTATTAATAATAGGCTAGATTTTACCTCAGTAGAAAAAATGCTGTACTGAGCTTTTTCCCAAATGTGACACTAAATGACATCCTCATTCTCCAAAAATAATCCATACACATCCATTACTTAACGGCCCTGTTGCCTTTCAATAAATCATTTCTGACTGTGTTTTCTGCCTCCTTGTAATGTTATGTGTGAGCTCCGATCCCCCCTTCCTCCACTTCTGTTTTGTTTTTGTTTTTTAGGAATGAGCGGTACATGTTAGTTGCTGTCATGTGTACTGCTGTATGCACACAACAAATCCCACTTACCCTCCTGAGGATGTACCCCCCTTCCTGACCAGGCCATTTTTTGCATTATGGCGCTGCATTATTTTAACTGAAAAGTGCGCGGTCATGCAATGCTGTACCCAAATTAAATTTACATCCTTTTTTTACCACGAATAGAGCTTTCTTTTGGTGGTATTTGATCGCCTGTGTGTTTTTTATTTTTTGCTCTATAAAAAAAAAATACCAACAATTTTGAGGAAAAAAACATTTTTTTACTTTTTGTTATTAACCACTTGCCCTCCTGGGGATTTACCCCCCTTAATGACCAGGCCTCTTTTTGCTACTCGGCACTGCACTAATTCAACTGATAATTGCGCGGTCATGCAATGCTGCACCCAAACGAAATTTACGTCCTTTTTTTCACACTAATAGAGCTTTCTTTGGTGGTATTTGATCACCTGTGTGCTTTTTATTTTTCACGCTATAAACAAAAAAAGACCAAAAATTTTGAAGAAAAACAATATTTTTTACTTTCAGCTATAAAAAATATATAGTAAACTCAAAGTTGGTTATAAATTTAGGCCAAAATGTATTCTGCTACATGTTTTTAGTGAAAAAAAATCCCAATAAGTGTATATTGATTGCTTTGTGTGAAAGTTATAACGTCTACAAACTATGGTATAGATACTGCAATTTACGCCATTTTTTTGCTATACAGCGCTGCACTAGTTTAACGGACAATTGCACGGTCATGCAATACGATATATAAATGAAATTTACATCCTTTTTTACCTACAAATTGAGCTTTCTTTGGTGGTATTTGATCGCCTGTGGGTTTTTTATTTTCTGTGCTATAAAAAAAAAGTCTGACAATTTTGAGGAAAAAAAACAATATATTTTTGGACTTTTTGCTATAAAACATGTCCAGTAAAAAAAATTTTAAAATCAAATTTAGTCATAAATTTCTGCCAAAATGCATTCTGCGACATGTCTTTGCTAAAAAAAAAAAACCCAATACGTGTAAATTAATTGGTTTACGTGAAAGTTATAGCGTTTACAAATGGCGGGAAAGATACTGGGATTTAAACATTTTTTTTATACTAATAATGGCGGCGATCAGTGACTTATGGCGGCGATCAGTGACTTATGGGCGGGACTGCGGCGGACATTCTGACACTGGGAGGGAACTGACTTGGGGTCACTGACATCCCCAGTGACACCAATACAGTGATCAGTGCAAAAAAAAAAAAACACTGACACTGTACTAATGGCACTGGGGAGGAAGGGGTTAACTTTATTATTCAGTGAAAGGGTTAACTGTGTGAGGGGAGTGTTTTACCAGGGGGCGGGGGTGTGTACTGCACAGGGAAACACTGATTGGGAGAGATAAACTCTTCTCTCCCGATCAGCCTGTCAGGAGCTGTCAGGGAACTGACAGAGAGCAGAGCTACTGCAGCTTTGCGCTCTGTCAGTGATTGCCGCTAATCGCCGGGACACAGCCGGTAACGAACGGCTGTGACCCGGTGACTGACATCCGTGGCAGTGATCGGCGGGACAGGTAGGGCGGTGGCGTGCCTCGCACACGCCCCCTACCTGTTTTGAAAACACACGTTTTAAAACGTGGTTTTGCCCAGCCGTGCCGCCCTGCCAACGTATTTCTACAGTGGCTGGGCGGCATGTGGTTAAACATGGCAAGTAAAAAAATTACAAAAATCTAATTTTGTCATAAATATAGGCCAAAATGTATTCTGCTACATGTCTTTGATAAAAAAAAAACGAGTAAATTAATTAATTAGTTTATGTGAAAGTTATAGCGTTTACAAATGGCGGTATATATACTGGGATTTTGTTTTTGTTTACTAGTAATGGCGGTGATCAGTGACTTATAGCGGCACTGCGGCGGGCATTCTGACACTGGGGGGAACTGACTTGGTGTCACTGACATCCCCAGTGGCACCAATACAGTGATCAGTGCTAATAAAAAACACTGTACTAATGGCACTGGGCAGGAAGGGGTTAACATGTGGGGCGATCAAAGGGTTAACTTTGTGCTGTGTGTGTGCTTCACTGTAAGCACACTGCTTTGCATGGCTCTGACAGGGGAGAGGGAGAGAACTGTATTGTTTACTTACAGTTCTCTCCCTCCGTCGTAATAATCATCGATCAGCAGGTGCCGGCAAGTAATCACCGGCTGGGACCGCCTTGATTGACAGCTGAGGCCGCAAATAGTGGCGCGGGTAGGGCGTGCAAGCGGCTCTCGCATGCCCCCTATCTGGGAATGCAAAATCACATATATATATGTGATTTACTGCTATAGGGCGGACAGGAAGCAATTAAAGGGCTCCATCACACCATGGTGCAGATAAATTTATTTTTCTGCACGCGTTCTGCAAGAGCGCAGCAAATCAATTGTTCTCTATGTGCCATGTTCATACCACAACACTAATATCATGTGCAGATTTTTTCTGCACAAGAATCTGCAACGTGTATAAAACTCATTGAAGTGTGCAAGAAAACTGATATAAATTTATGTTTTTGCAAGTGAAATCTGCGCATCAGTTTCCAGTAGGTTTTCCTTTAAATGAGGCCTTAGGGAGCAAGCAAGAGTGGGTGGTGACATTCCTACCAGAACTGAGAAGGGGGGGCAGAAAGGCACGTGCCCTGGATGCTGCAGCAGGAAAGGGACACACTCCAGCAGCTCCCTTCTCCCTGCTTTTAACTGACAGGAGTGACTGCAATTTTATCCCTGTCAGCAGGGCTTTATTTTCAGTGGGGACATGGCAATACTGGGTACCTCCATCTCCAGCACTAGCCCTGCTCCTACCACTGTCACTTGTTCTAAAATTAGGAGCTGGATTCTCTTTATAAGTGACAGAATGTCCCAAGTGACAGCGCCTCTTCAGTGCAGGAGGAGCGGCTTCCAGGAGGCTGGGCTGTCATGTTGGGTGTGAGTGTTCTCTGCTCTGCGGCATGACAGCGCCTCTTCAGTGCAGGAGGAGCGGCTTCCAGGAGGCTGGGCTGTCATGTTGGGTGTGAGTGTGTTCTCTGCTCTGCGGCATGACAGCGCCTCTTCAGTGCAGGAGGAGCGGCTTCCAGGAGGCTGGGCTGTCATGTTGGGTGTGAGTGTTCTCTGCTCTGTGGCATGACAGCGCCTCTTCAGTGCAGGAGGAGTGGCTGCCAGGAGGCTGGGCTGTCATGCTGGGTGTGAGCAAGATGAGCCAGGGTCATACACAGTGAGACAGCAGCGTGGTCAGGAGGCAGGCTGAGGTCGGTACCAGGTTAGCAAGCAAAGAGAGCTCCAGTTGCAAGCCGAGGTCAGCCCCAGGGGATCAGGGAGAGAATAGTCAGAGGCAAGCCAAGGTCAGCACCAGGAGGTCAGGCAGACAGTAGTCTAAGGCAAGCCAAGGTCAGAATTCAGAATCCACAGAGCAAGGTCAGGAGCAAGCCAGGTCAGCAACGGAAGATCAGTCAGTGCAAATAGGAACACAGGAACATGAGTCACAGGAAGCTAAAGAACATCAAGTGATTAGTACACAGCAGAGTCTTCTTTAAATAGGCAGCTTGGTGCCAATGTGGGAAAACGTGTGCGCCAATGTGAGATGGCGCATAGAAATGTGCCTACAACACAGCTTCTCTAGAGGGGTAGCACATCTTTTGGTCTCAGACATAGCTGGATGTTTCTGTCACGTACCTTGGTTGAAGGCCGGTTGAGGGCTTCCCTTGTGGCTCTGGTTCGAGTGCCTATACTGGGCGAGAGACCGATGTGGTGGAAGAGTATCTGCTACTTTCTTGTTGAAAGCATTGAGAAAGTCATGATATACTGGTGGTATGAGCAAGCAAAGATTAGAGTCCAGTTGGCTGCTGAGGCCAAGTGTAGGGTTAACAGGATTTGTGCTGAGCCAGTTCTACTGGCAATAGGGACTATAACTTTCCAGCCAGCCTATTGCCAACAGAACTGCCTCAGCACAAACCCTATTACCCAAAAGACTGTGCTTATCTTTGCCTGCTCATACCCCCAGTATATCATGACTTTATCAATATTTTCGACAAGAAAGGAGCAGATACAATTCCACCACATCGGTCTTACGACTGTCCCATTGAGTTGCTCCCCAGGGCAGAAATTCATTTTGGCCGCATATTCCCTCTGTCTGAACTGGAACTAGAGGCTTTTCAGCATTACAATAATGAAAATTTGAAAAAAAAAGGTTTCATCTGCCCTTCATCATCACCAGCAGAAGCTGGCATATTCTTTGTGCAAAAAAAGACCACTCTCTCCGACCTTGTGTGGACTATCGGGAGGTCAATAAGATTATCTTTATAAAATGCTACCCGCTCCACTTAATCCATGAATTTTTCCAAAGATTCCAGACAGTCCAGATATTCACTAAGCTTGTCTTGCGGGGGGGGCGTAGAACCTAGTACGCATCAGGGAAGGGGACAAGTGGAAAACAGCATTTTGAACTCACTGTGGGCATTTCGAGTCCCTGGTGATGCCTTTTGGCTTGAGTAATGCCCCTGCCACGTTCCAACATTTTGTAAATTACATCATCTGGGAGTACCTAGATCTCTTCCTAGTTGTATACCTTGACAACTTCCTGATCTTTTCTCCATCTCTGGAAATGCATTGCGTTCGTGTAAAGAAAGTTTCGACTGTCCTGAGAGTGCATGGACTGTATGCAAAAAAATGCGAGTTTGAAAGACAATCTATTCAGTTTCTGGGGTTGGTGATCTCTACAGAAGGAATTGCTATTAACCCTCAAAAGGTGTCCTCCATCCTTGAATGGCCAGCACCCAAAGACAAGAAAGGAGTTCAGAGATTTGTGGGATTTGTTAATTTTTATCGCAAATTCATAAAAACCTTCTCTGACATCATTGCTCCCATTACACAACTTACCCACCAACACATACGCTTCCAGTGGCCCCTGGAGGTTCAAACTGCCTTTGACAAACTTAAGGCCCTCTTTATTTTAGCACCACCTCTCCAGCATCCTGTTCCAGCTCTGCTTTATGTGCTTGAAGTTGATGCCTCAGAAACCGCAACAGGGGCCGTATTATCACAACAACAAGGTTGTGGCCTTCTTCTCTCAGAAGTTGAGCCAATCAGAGAAGAATTATGACGTGGGTGACAGGGAACTGCTGGCAATCAAATCAGCACTTGAAGAGTAGAGATACCTACTGGAAGGTGCAGCACACCCTGTTCTAAACTTCACGGACCACAAAAAAAAAACATCATCCAGGATCTAAGAATGGCAAGGCAGATGCCTTATCTCGCATGTTTCCAGATACCTCTGAATCATCTTCATCAGACACCATTTTGTCAGCCCAGAACTTATATATATATCTTATATATATAACACCTATTAAACAAGTTTCGGCAGTCTGCCCTGAACCTGACGGCACTATTTGTCAGAAGCGAGAGTGTATGTGGTGGTGCAATAACAAAATCTTTGTTCCACTGGAAATTCATCCACGGGTACTCAGCACTTTCCATGACCACCCACTGGCAGGACACTTTGGGATATATAAGATATTAAAATTGATCCAATGTTCCTTCTGGTGGCCAAACCTTAACCAGGATTGTAAGGACTATGTGAGGTCATGCACGAACTGTATTTGCAACAAAGGCGATCAATTTAAATCATAGGACCTACTAAGACCATTGCCTGTTTCCAAATGCCTGTGAGAAAGGATTTCCATGGACTTTATCATGGATCTTCCTCTCTCTGAAGGGTTTGCTTCCATCTTTGTGGTCATAGACCATTTGTCCAACATGGCCCACTTACAGCTTCAGAGACAGCACATGCCTTCATTAAAGAAGTAGTACAGCTACACGGGGTACCAAGGAACATTGTTTTTGACAGAGGTGTACAGTTCACTTCTATATTTTGGAAATCGGTCTGCAAAGCCTGAGAATCGAGATCTGCTTATCCTCTGCATACCATTCTTAAGAGTAAAGGCCAGACAGAGCGTACTAATCAAACCCTGCAGCAGTATCTCAGATGTTTCTAGTCCTTTTCGCAGGATGATTGGGCTGCTTTGCTGCCCCTTGAAGAATTTGCATATAATAATGCAGTCCATTCTTCCACAAATCAGGCTCTGTTTTAGTCTAACTATGAGTTCCACCCTACTGTCCTACCAGACATCATACCAGAAACAGAGTTGCCCGCTGCCCAAGATAAGCTAGATTTTCTTCATTCTAACTCTCAGCTACTCCAAGAATTCATGCAGAAAGCACAAGAAGACAGCAAAAGATATTATGACAGAAAGTGGAGAGAGGAATTGGTTCTAAAAGAAAAAGACAAAGTCTGGCTATCACAGCCTGACCTGAAGCTTGCATGCCCTTCACGGAAGTTGGGTCCCACCACGAGGTGAGATCTTGCGTGGAGCCCCAGTCCGAGGGAGACTGACAGTTGTCTTTAGCCTCTTCCATTTTCTAACAATTGCTCCAACAGGTGATCTATTTTCACCAAGCTGCTTGACAATTGCCCCATAGCCCTTTCCATCCTTGTGGAGGTCCACAATTTTGTCTCTGGTGTCTTTTGACAGCTCTTTGGTCTTGCCCATGGTAGTAGTTGGTGTCTGACTGACTGTGGGGTGGACAGGTGTCTTTAAAGAGCTCAGACAGGTGCTACTAAGTTAGATTAATGAGTGGAGTAGAGGTGGACTTTTTAAAGGCACAGTAACAGGTCTTTGAGAGCCAGAATTCTTGCTGTTTCTTAGGTGTTCAAATACTTATGTTCAGCAGTGCAAGACAAATAAATTCTTTAAAAATCATAAAATGTGATCTACTGAATTTTGTTTTTTTTATTCTGTCTCTTGGAGTAGTAATGCACCTACAACCTACACCCCTCCATGATTTCTAAGTGGGAGAACTTGCAAAATCGCAGGGTGTTCAAATACTTCTGTTCCTCACTGTATATACTGGAATTTTTATTTCACTTTCTTATATTAGTAATGGCGGAGATCAGTGACTTATAGTGGGACTGTGACGGCATTCTGACACTAGGTGGGAACTAACTGCCACTGACATCCCCAGTTACACTAATACAGTGATCAGTGCTAATAAAAACTGACACTGTACTAATGACACTGGGCAGGAAGGGGTTAACATCTGGGGTGATTTAAGGGTTAACTGTGTGGTGTATGCATTTTACTGTGTGCACTGTGTTGTGTTTTACTAGGGAGACAAGCTTTGCAGAGAGATACAAAACAGCATGTCCATGCTGACAGGAGAGAGACCTGTGTTGTTTACACACAGGTCTCTCCCCTATCAGCTTTCCCTGTTGATCGCCAAGTGCCGGCTGGGAATTGGCAGCCAGGACCCAGTGATTGACATCTCTAGCCGCCAATAACGGCACAGGTAGAGCGGCGCATGTGCCCCCTGCCCGGAAATGCAAATTTCATATATATACTGTGTATATATATATATATATATATATATATATATATGTGATTTTGCGCAGCCCTGCTGCCCTGTAGCAGTATTTCTGCTATAGGGCGGAGGGCAAGCGGTTAACCATTTACGGGCCACTGGCCGGCAATGTACTGCGGATGGTTGGCAGCTACAGGACCAGCAACGTACCTGTATGTCACTGGTCTTTTACCAACACGGGGGGGGGGGGGCGCAACTGGACGCACAGCAGAATGAGAATCCCGGTAATCGGGATCGCTATGCGATCACATGATCACAATGACAACAAAGCTTTTATGAATCATTCTGATTCATAAAAGCTTTGCTTCTGTTCCTGGAGAGCTGTGAGCTGTGATTGGTGCACAGCTCTAACATAACACATGGGGCCAATCACAGCACCCTGTACCATGTGATCAGCTGGAGCCAATCACAGATCACTATTATATTGAACTTTCATGAACTTAACACATTTATGACATTTCAAAACAAGGTTTGCATTGCAGAGCAACTTCATTGCTCCTGCATTGCAAAGTGTAAAAAAAATATATATATGATCACCCCTCCCAGAGTAGTACAATGTTGCTATGGTAACATTGCAGAACTCTGATGAAAGTATTTGAAAAAAAAAAAAAAACATTAAAGAGAAAAAGAAAAAAGTTAAAAAACCAAATGGATAATAAGAAAACAATAATTGATGTATTGGTGCAGCGCTACCCTAAATAAACTTAAATACAAATCATATAAACCCAATAACAAAATAGAAACACACTTAAAAATTGAAAAATCATACAAATATATATAAGGTGAATAAATATGATCATAAAGTGAAATGATCCTTAAGCTGATCTAGAAGTGAAAAAACGCATAAACACAATAATGGAAAATAGTGAAACTGAAACAAGTCCAAATGGACTAACAATGATGTGAAAACAATATATGTATAAAGTAAAAGTGAACCCCTATAATGGGATCAAGATCCTCACAAGAAAACGTACCAACAGGCTTTAAATATGCCAGAATATTTGGTGAAGAAATAGTGACATCTGTGAATCCAAAAATGTGGGACAAAATTACCACAAATTAACAAGTTCTGTGATAATCCCAGAATGCGGGACAAAGATTTAGAAGTGACAAGTGATCTGATAAATCAACATTCATATACAGTTGTGTTCAAAATAATAGCAGTGTGTTGAGAAAAGTGAATAAAGCTCAAAATCCTTCTAATAGCTTTTATTTTCATACACACAAATGCATTGGGAACACAACACATTCTATTCCAAATCAAAACATGAAGAAAAATATATCAAATTTGTGTTGTTCCTCTAAAAAAATTGAAGAAAAGTGAATATTAGACTGTTCAAAAAATAGCAGTGTTTGTATTCTTCTTTACAAACTCAAACATTCACTATATAAACTGAAAAATGTTTGAAGATTTTGCTTTCCTTTGAATCACTTAATGAATATTTAGTTGTATAAGCACTGTTTCTGAGAACTGCTGTACATCTGTGTTGCATGGAGTCAACCAACTTCTGGCACCTGTGAACAGGTATTCCAGCCCAGGATGATTGGACTACATTCCACAGTTCTTCTCTATTTCTTGGTTTTGCCTCAGAAACTGCATTTTTGATGTCACCTCACAAGTTTTCTGTTGGATTAAGATCCGGGGATTGGGCTGGCCACTCCATAACGTCAATATTGTTGGTCTGGAATCAAGATGTTGCACATTTACTGGTGTGTTTGGGGTTGTTGTCTTGTTGGAACACCCATTTCAAGGGGATTTCCTCTTCAGCATAAGGCAGCATGACCTCTTCAAGTATTCTGATGTATTCAAACTGATCCATGATCCCTGGTATGCGATAAATAGGCCCAACACGGTAGAATGAGAAACATCCCCATATCATGATGCTTGCGCAACCATGCTTCACTGTCTTCACAGTGTACTGTGGCTTGAATTCAGTGTTTGGGGGTCATCTGACAAACTGTCTCCGGCCACTAGACCCAAAAAGAACAATCTTACTTTTATCAGTCCACAAAATGTTGCGCCATTTCTCTTTAGGCCAGTCAATGTGCTCTTTGGCAAATTGGAACCTCTTCAGCACGTCTTTTCTTCAACAGTGGGACTTTGCGGGGGCTTCTTGTAGATAGCTTGGCTTCACATAGGCGTCTTCTAATTGTAACAGTACTCACAGGTAACTTTAGACCTTCTTTGATCTTCCTGGAGCTGATTGTTGGCTGAGTCCTTGCCATTTTGGCTATTCTTCTACCCATTCGAATGGTAGTTTTTCGCTTTCTTACACGTCTTTCAGGTTTTGGTTGCCATTTTAAAGCATTTGCGATCATTTTAGCTGAGCAGCCTATCATTTTCTGCACTTCTTTATATGTTTTCCCCTCTCCAATCAACTTTTTAATCAAGGTACGCTTTTCTTCTGAACAATGTCTGGAACAACCCATTTTCCTCAGAATTTCAGAGAGAAATGCACTGTAACCAGCATGTACAACATTTGCTGCCTCCTTCCTTAAATAAGGGCAATAATTGCCACCTGTTTTTCAAAGAATGAATGACCTCACTAATAGAACTCCACACTGCTATTATTTTGAACATGCCCCTTTCAATTAGTGATTCAATTACACAGAATCAGCAGCATGCATGTCATGACTGTTGGGTCTGTTGGATTTCTATTACACCTGCTAGTAAATTATTTGCCATGTAGAAATATTATTTCTACCAAAAACAGTGATTGATCAGGTTAGTGATGTCTGACTGCTATTATTTTGAACACAACTGTATGTGACAAAAAAAAAAATTTAAATAATAAAAAAAAAATGTGAAATCAAAAATAATCATAAAACAAGTCCAAAGAAAAAAAGTTCACAGGTGTATAAACACCAAAATAATTGGACTCTTCAAGCTTCTTTAAAACTTGCAGGTGATAAAGTGGATAAGCATGACAACCAATAGTAAATAATCTGTAAACGGCTGAATTGCCCTCTCACCTCCTCCTTGCAGTGACCCAAAGGGCCAAAACACTTGTTGAAATATCAAAAGGACCTTTCCACTTTCAGGATGATATCCGTCCACACTGGTGATATTCCTTCATAGGCATACAGATAGAAGCAGCAGGTCCCCTCCAGGGATGATATAATCAGATACAGTCAGCTGGGGGATATTAATCTATGTTTGGAATCTCGATGGGATGTGTCACCGCACTATAGAGGTGCACACAGGGCCGTGTGTAGTACAGGACAGCTGTGTGATTGGATCTCCTGTCCACAACTGTACAGAGATGACAACAGGTAGCAATGTTCTGCTCTCCAGTAAGGTTCTACTGTCAGCACTACACTTCCCGCTTGTTGTGATCTTTGTTGATTGGTAGTTTCCTCAGATCATGTGACTTGTTTTTTGGTTCAATAGACTTCAATTGAGATGCTGCAGAAATGCAAGTAGTGTGTTTTTTGCGTTTTAATCTGCCCAGCAACAAGTTGGAAAAAAAAAAAAAGCAAAACACGTCAAAAACGCATGTGGAAAACCGCAAAACGCACCGCAGAAATGGATCAAACGCGCACACTGTATAGCCTTAGTCTGTCTCCGATTTGCCTGCAGCTGCCTCTGTGCTTTCAGCTGAGATCAAGGAGGGTTGTAAACTGTCCTCTTTAGATAAACTGTCTTGCCTGAGGAACCGCAGACTGTTTACAATACTCTTAGGCTTAGCCAAGAGTATTGTCAGGGTACACTCTGTCCCTCTTTGAAGGCACTGAGTATATATTTGGGGGGGGTTTGATGTAATTGTTTGATACAATTGTTAATATTATTTTTATATTTGGATTTTGATTTATCTTGTGGGGATCACTGGTCTTTGAATATTGCTCTCTAGGTTTTTTGGCAATTGTATGTCGGCCGTTATTGAGGTTATGCGCATGGTTTCTATGCAGTTACAAGTGATTGGCCCGCATGTTTTAATTTTTTTTCCTGTTTTCTTTTTGGGTTTACTATGCCATCCCCTCTTTTTCGTCGCTATTGCACCCTTTTCCAACATGGTGACCCGCTCACCTCAGGTCCGCTTTTGGTAGTGCGTCATGACATCACACCAGAAATGCCGCACACCGCACAGGGCATCCCATGCATTGTACTGCATCGTTCGACACAGATTTAGAAGGAGGGGACATGGGGGACAGCAGACCCCGCTGGGATTGGTTTTCTAATTTAACTCCCCTATATATACATGCACCTACAGTATCTCCCAGAAGTGAGTGCACCCCTCACATTTTTGTAAATATTTTATTATATCTTTTCATGTGACAACACTGAAGAAATGACCCTTTCTAAAATGTAAAGTAGTGAGTGTACAGCTTGTATCAGTGTAAATTTATGTTTCATTTTTCATTATCTTGGAATACTGCCCTTCGGCCCAGTCTCTGAAGGGAGGGGATCATGCTCTGCTTCAGTACGTCACAGTACATGTTGGCATTCATGGTTCCCTCAATGAACTGTAGCTCCCCAGTTCTGGCAGCACTCATGCAGCCCCAGACCATGACACTCCCACCACCATGCTTGACTGTAGGCAAAACACACTGTCTTTGTACTCCTCACCTGCTTACCGCCACACACGCTTGACACCATCTGAACCAAACAAGTTTATCTTGGTCTCATCAGACCACATCACATGGTTCCAGCAATACATGTCCTTAGTCTGCTTGTCTTCAGCAAACTGCAGGCTTTCTTGTTCATCATGTTTAGAGGTGGCTTCCTTATGCAGACCAATTTGATGCAGTGTGCGGCGTATGGTCTGAGCACTGACAGGCTGACCCCCCACCCCTTCAACCTCTGCAGCAATGCTGGCAGCACTCATACGTGTATTTCCCAAAGACAACCTCTGGATA